GGACCTGAAACCATTTTCATGCGAGAGTGCATCTTACGGGAACATGTAACCTTTTCCCACCGAGGAACTCATTACAGAAGTAGTAGCTGAAGTCAGTATTCTCAGAATACCATCATTTCCCCAGATTAGATTGTTAGCCAGAAGAAGCAGAGTCTTTTTTGCAATAGATTCTGGAATAATTTTCTTGAGGACTCACATCATGTCAGGGAGTTGCTTAGCAGCATTTATTAAGATTCGTAAAACCCATCTTTTACTTTTAAGGATTCTTCTGTTGTTTCCTTACTTTTCTGTTGTCTTAAAAAGTTTTGGTTTTAAGATGATTGATAAAGGGAATGTTAAACGTGAATCGTTTTACATTATTAAATTTTAGATCATGTCATAAAATAGCACCAGAGTTCCTCTAAAAGTTGTGTCCAGATTGTAGTGTTTAATGTGCTTAGAAGGGGAAAAGTATGGAATACATGAGGGTATATATATCTTATATTTATGTAATTGATTTGATTCGATGGCAATACAAGTCTAAATTTAGTTTTGGCACTGATTCTGCCCTCAGTTTAGAAACTGATTGCCAATATATTATTCTAAAGCTATATTTGCTGCTTGTCCCAGAAAGATTGCAAACCCCTATCCTAGACTATAAGTGGGGCATTAGTAGAAATTATTTAAGTAAAATAACATGGAACAATCCAAAGAAATATATTTTCTAATGCAATACTGAACAAGTCTACATCCTGTAATAATGATACCTATGACATCAACTGATAGAGATACCTATCTCTAACTGCTCAAGGAACAAAGTTATCTGAAGGTCCTGCAAGGGAATGAATATTGTCTGTTCAGTTGGTTTTAAGATCTCATGTAACGTTAACAGCAGGCTACAGGCTGAGGATGGTGACTATTTTTTGCAGTCTTGTATTTTGGCATCCCTTAGGGAACAATGAGTTTCAAGAAACTATTATGAAGGGCACAGGAGATGCATTTCATATATTGATTTCTGTGGCTGCAGACCTCCACTAATTTTATTGATTCTAACACATCACATGTTTAACAATCATATTAACTGAGCTGAACAAGCCATCCAGTCTTTGCCAGACTAGTTTCATTTGTTGGAAAAAAACTCTAAATTAAGTAGTAACTAAGTAAAGCAACTTACACCGATATCTGTTATATGGAAGAAAATTTCTCAAGTGGTGTTTAAATATTAATTAGAGCTTGCAGGTCTGTCTTTGTGGAAAACTACATCTGTGTAAACTTCTGTTTTTCAATCCCTATCAGATTTTCATCACAGTGAACTGCCTAAGCACAGATTTCTCTTCTCAAAAAGGAGTCAAGGGTCTTCCTTTGATGATTCAGATTGACACATACAGTTACAACAATCGCAGCAATAAACCCATTCATCGAGCCTTCTGTCAAATCAAAGTATTTTGTGACAAGGTAAGACAATGTATTTCTTAATTACTGCATAGCAAAACTTTCTTCCTCATTTAGTTAATGATTTTAGTTATTCTCGATCTGATTTTTAACATCATTCATGTCTTCAAGTCACTTTCATTTTAGTTTTGTTTCAAATCTTTTCTTTCTTTGCTATTGATGTCTTCAGTGATAGCAGCAAGAATAGAACTTATTTTGGCTACCGTTTTATATTCTAGAATCTCCTAGAAGTTGTGTTACTCCCAACTCTGAGGGACGAATGACAGCCACGATGCAAAAATGGCATCACATTGATAACAGCAGTCTTTTCCTCACATAATAACACCATTTTATTTATTTATTATTGAGTCACTCTTGACTCCTGGCGACTGCAAGAACAAGTCCCTGCAGTTTTCTTGGCAAGGCTTAAAAAGTGGTTTGTCATTGCCTCCTTCCTAGGGCTAAGAGAGAGTGACTGGCCCAAGGTCACCCAGCTGGCTGTGTCCCTAAGCCAGGACTAGAACTCACAGTCTCCCAGTTTCTAGCCTGATACCTTAACCACTGCACCAAATTGGCTCTCAATAACACAGTTACCAGGGGGATTCTGGAATGATAGAATGGTGCTTCTCTTTCAGTAGTTGCCAAGACCAACTTTTGCAAATGTCTGAGAATATAAGCCCCTAAATGACGGACAAACAGATGTGAAACTGGTAACAATGACTCACTCCACTAATACTTTAAAAATGTTAATTGC